GCCTGGGTGGCTCAGTCATTAAGGGTCTGCCTTCAGCTCAGGTCATGATCCCAGCCCAGCAGGAGGCTTTCTTCTCCCTCTCCCACTCCCCCTGCTTGTGTTCCCTCTCTCACTGTGTCTCTCTCTGTTAAATAAATTACGTTAAATTAAATTAAACTAAAACTTTTTAAAAAAACCCCAAATATCATAAAAGAGAGCCATAATTCTTAAGTGGTATGAGTGAAAAAGGAGGAAGGAGAAGAGAAAATCTCAAAATCATCTGGGGAGCTTTAGCAACCTATTTGTGCCCTGGAGAGGGATCTGGGCAAATGAGTTTGAAAAATCATTCCAGAGGGGTGTTTGGGTGCGGCAGTCAGTTGAGCCTCCAGACTCTTGGTTTCTGCTCAGGTAGTGACCTCAGTTGTGAGATGAAGCCCCAAATAATGCTCTGTGCTTGGCATGGAGCCTGCTTGAGATTCTCTGTTCCTCTCTGCTCTTCTTCTCACTTGTGTGTGCTGGTGTGTGCACATGTATGCTCTCTCTCAAATAAATAAATAAATCTTAAAAATAAAAAAGAAAGAAAAAGAATTCCAGAGATTCTAATCTCTCTATTACCCGTTACAGAAATGGTGGCTTAACAGGTAAGTTGATAAAATATTAAAAAACATTTTTCCATGGTCCTTCCTCTATATAAATATACCTCATAGAAAATAAATACCTTATGATGTGCTCACATTATATCTAGAACAGAGAAACAATAATGCTAAAGGCAATATTGGTTGTAAATAGTGATGACTTTTAAATGTTGGAAGACTTTATTCAAGAATTAATAATTTCACTTGCATATATCTAAAAGGAAATGCCAAATGTTTCTTTGCAAATGGTTAGGTCATGCAAATTCTGACTCACTGTTTTGGCTCTACCTAGCTATTAGGTTTTGGACAACACTTTACCACTCTACCCATTTCCTCATCGGTAAAGGATGGGAGTTAGCAAGATACAAAGAAACTTATAGCTCTGATACTCAGTGATTCCATAAATACTACTTTTTCTCATTCCTCCATTCTTAATTTATAGGCCTATTTGAGCATTTACATTGTTCAAAATATATGCCCTTCTTTGTATGTGAAGCTGCTGTTACTAAATCATATTCTGTAGGAAAAAACAAGTATTTTGAAATCTGGGTTGGCTTTGCAGCAGTGACAATAGATTTACACAGAACTCTCCACATTATTTTTTTTGGTCCACATCTCTGTAAGATAGGAGAGGAAAGGAGGATGGGATGTAACCTGTATGATTTCTCTTTAGGACCAACAGGCCCACAAAGAAAGCAGATCTACAATCTTACCCTCATTTCAACATACTCTGAAAGCAGTGGTGTTTTGTTTTGTTTTTTAAGATTTTTTAAAAAAATTATTTATTTGACAAAGATCACAAGTAGGCAGAGAGGCAGGTAGAGAGCGAGGAAGGGGAGCAGACTCCCTGCTGAGCAGAGAGCCCGATGCAGGGCTTGATCCCACAACCCTGGGATCAAGACCTGAGCTGAAGGCAGAGGCTTTAACCCATTGAGCCCATCCAGGTGCCCTCTGAAAGCAGTGGTTTTAAGATTTTTTTTTTATTGCACATATCTCTCAGTAAATAATTTTTGTTGTACTCCTAAATATACATGTTTACTTCTAAGATAAAAATGCACTATTGTAATGATATTATGTATGTTCTAATACACACATATAGAAAGACAAAATGATATTTATACATACAAAAGATCAAAATATTCCATCCTCCAAAGCATCATCTTGCACACCTTATTTTTTAATTCCACTGCTCTAAACAACCATCAAAATACTGAGCATTCTACAATACTTGCTGAAGCCATATCCACTGTCTTTCCTTTTTTAAAAAAATTATTTTTATTAACATATAATGTATTATTTGCCCCAGGGGTACAGGTCTGAGAATCATCACGCTTACACATTTCACAGCACTTACCATAGCCCATACCCTCCCCAATGTCCATAACCCAGCCACCCTATCTTTACCCCCCTCACCCCCCAGCAACTCTCAGTTTATTTTTCCACTGCCTTTTCTAGCAATCTCCTTCCAAAGACGATACCTATCTTCCACATGACCATACAGTCACTAACCTCTTATGTCTGGAATTTAATGTTTTCCTACTTTAGTGGGTTGAATTTGAATATAGACATTTGGAGATACAGAAATTGTAAGCCTTCCTATACCAGGTGGGTAGTACATTGGTAAGGATGGCCTGTTGTAGAGCTAAGTATTTTGACAAAACGGGAAGAATTTAGAATTTGGAGTTATACAGGGAATACGGAAATAAATGCCCAACAGTAGTAGAAAGCAATCATTTTCAAAAAATTAAGGAGTGGGGTGGTAGGGTTATGGACATTGGGGAAGGTATGTGCTATGGTGAGTGCTGTGAAGTGTGTAAACCTGGCGATTCACAGACCTGTACCCCTGAGGCTAATAAAACATTATATGTTAATAAAAAATTAAAAATTATATGAAAAAATTGAGTGGAATATTATGTGCAGCTATTAAAAATTATGTTCTTAAATATGTTCAAAGTTGTATTGTGAACATTTAAATTATTAGGTGGATTGAAACATATACAAAGTCCTTATTTTCTTAAATAATGTATGTGTGTATATATGAATTAATAAGTACATATAGTGTACTATAGGATACTATAGTATACATATAAATGACTATAGGAAAATATTAACAGTGGTTACGTGTAGGTAGTATAATTAAGGTATTTTTGTTTTCTTCCCCATATTTTTCTGTATTTATCTAATTTTTTGCATTAGTATATACTGATTTTATAACCAGGAAAAAAATTTGAAATATTATTTAAAGAAAATCCTCTACATTTATAAAAAAAATCAATACATTTTCTGTTTATAATTAATTCACTACGCCTGGAAAAGAGATGCATTTTACTCATATAAACATTAGTCTTTTCTGAGTGTAGAAGCCATCAGTTTAGATAAACAAATAAACTTGCTAGTTACTTAAGCCCATCATTAGGTTCAAGGGAAATACTTAACACCATAAATTTAAGCCAACAACAAAAATCTGTGGTTACCAATTGAAACCACCAGGTGCCACTGTTGCTTTACAGAAAGGAGAGGAATACCTAGCACCGATTGGTTTCTTTTTTTTTTTTTTAAGATTTTTATTTATTTATTTGACAGAGAGAGATCACAAGTAGACGGAGAGGCAGGCAGAGAGAGAGAGAGGGAAGCAGGCTCCCTGCTGAGCAGAGAGCCCGATGCGGGACTCGATCCCAGGACCCTGAGATCATGACCTGAGCCGAAGGCAGCGGCTTAACCCACTGAGCCACCCAGGCGCCCCCTGATTAGTTTCTTTAGAATAGATACGTGCTTTTAACCTGCGCATGGATAACAATAAAATCTTTTCAGAGGCAGAACAATTATTTCAATAATTTTATGCTCATATCCCAAAAGGTAAATCAGAAGAGATTTGAAGTTATAGTTCCCATCAATTTCCTACATATGGGATTGAGAAAAGAGAACATATTGTATCAAGAAATAGATTTCAGCCATAAAACCTGACTTTACATTTTGAAATACCCTATTTATAGTAGCATTTTAATGCTGTTTATCACTGTTTTCTGTGAGAAAGTGCATTCTTCATTCTAACTCTAAACAGCAGGGATGTAAGTCTCCACCCTGGCTCTGCGACTTCTAACTGTAAGGTTTTTGCAGTTAGCTTCCATCTATAAAACAGTAATTCCAAGCTTACACAGTTATTTTAAAGACTGAATAATATCATATGCATAAACAGGGTTATTAGACAACTTATTACTTCTCTCTGCAGGGATAAGAAGTTCTCAGCTTCCTTGGCCACTGAGGTCGCATCTAAGTGAGACAGGAAATCTTTGCCCTGATGCTAAAATGGGTGCTAGACATAGTATCTTAAAACATGGGTCTTTTTCTAATTCACTATCACTTATGAGGAGAGGACCATGACAAGTCACTTCATCCACTGGGCCTTCTGGTTCCTCATCTTTGAAATAGGATTGGGCTAAATGGCTCTCAGGTCACCTCCAGCCAAGAATCCTGTTTCTATAAAACCGTTCCACAGAAGGTATCATTCTATTTGTGCATAGTACATTTTTCTAATGCAACATTTTGCAATTATTAAAGTTGGGAGGCAAAGGGTTGTGGGACAATGAGTGCTATAATCCAACATTCAGCATTTGAGCTCCTTTCATGTACCAAACACAGTGCTAGACTCTGGGGGTATAAAATGAAGATGATACCATCCCATCTCTCCCTTCAGGGAGTTTTCAGTCAAATGGAGAAACAGATATAGATAACCAAGTACCGTGCAACAGAGTGAGGTTGTGGACTGAATGTATCTAAGGAGGTATATTTATATGAGGCAGGCAGTTAATCTTCAGGATGCTGTTGATCAGTCAGTTTAATGAAATTAAAGTAATTTTGAGGGACTTTTCTGATTTGCTTAAAGTTGTTTCCAGGATGAAATTTCTGGGTCATTCTTCTGTGGGTATTACCAACTTTTGGTTTAAAGAGATCTAGGCAAGGTATTTTCTGAAGTACATACTCCTGGGTTTTATAATCTATATGAAAATGAAAAGTGAGTAGTCTATAGCATAGTGGAAAGGAGACAGATCATTGTTTGGAATAGACCAGTAGAGCTTCTCCTGCCATTTAGCACAGATGTTCACATTCAGTTTCGGTCCCATTATCTTTCTAAATTCCCTCTCCTACTTAGTGTTTGTCACTGATCTTTTCTCTTCTCTGCAAATTGCTATGCTCAGTTTTTCCAAAATTTTCTCAGCTGAGTCTGCAGCTCTAAACCCCCACTGATACTGTGCTCTTGCCAATATACATTTATTGATCTGAGATGCCCAAACCAGGGCATTATGGAACTGGAGAAGAAATGGAAGAGCAAATACCAGCTTCTGCCATCTGGTAATTTCAAAAGCTACCAAATCCCCCTCTGCTTACCAGACTCTCTGTAGTAAGCTCCGGCAAATCCTGAATGGTACAGCAAGGGTAATCCAGGATCGAAATGCTGCAAAATGCAGAGAAAGGGTAGGCTTTAGGGAAATAGCAATGGCAGGAAATGGCAATTCTGAAATGGCAGGAATTATTTCTCTCCAGCAGGCCCAATCTATTTCCCAAATTGCTTAGTGACCTCAGCTGAAACTGAGGGTTGTGGTGCCAGGCAACTCCAGTTCTAGTCATGAGAAGAACCCACAGAGTTCCTTCAAGCCAGTTCTCCATCTAGCAGATGGAAAAGAAGGCAGCAAGGGAGCCTCTGGTATAGCCACCTCTCTCCTCTCTTCTTTAAAGAGTAAGGACACATGTGCACTTCCGTTTTTGCATTTAAGTGTATGCTTATGTATATGTGTCAACCGTGTTCCCAGAGATGCTGCCCAAACTTAACCCACTTAGTAACAACCTGTGGACAAAGGGTGAAATGAAGACCTTTCCTATGTCCTTTACCAGATGTTTCTGAAAGCCAGCAGCTCTGGGAAATGATCATGGAGGCCATTCTTGAAGGGAGCTTAAGACAAAGGCAGCTTCCCTTAGCAGGGCCAATCTAGTAGCTCAAGAATGGTAACAGCACTGGGGCATCTGGGTGGCTTGGTCAATTAAGCTTCCAGTCCAACTGGATCTCACTTCAGGTCACGATCTCAGAGGCATGAGATCAAGCCCCACATTGGGCTCTGTGCTGGGCATGGAACCTGCTTAAGATTCTCTCTCTCTCTTTCTCTCTCTCCCTCTGCCCACCCTTCCCCACCCCCACCTGCACTCATGTATGTTCTTAAAAAAAAATTTAAAAAGAGAATGATAACAGTATCTGCCCCCAGAACTGACAGTGGGGGACCATAAGGGAGCTGGAGGCTCTGTGGTGAGCCCAGGGAAGCAGGAATGAGTAGGTAGGGAAAATGATGCACTGCATTATGACAGGGACATAGTTACTCAAAATTATAGTTTTTTCTTTCATTTTCTCTCTTCTTCATTAGTACAGTGCAGGATTTAGCTCATCTCTAATGCTCCTTCTCATTCTGACATTCCATAAGGTTTATAACCAATCTATTTGAACTAGCGCAATTGGAAATAGATAAAGGATGTGGGCAAAGCAAGGGCCATAAAAGAGTGTGGGTTTCTTTTTTTTTTTTTTTTAAGATTTTATTTATTCATTTGACAGACAGAGATCACAAGTAGGCAGAGAGGCAGGCAGAGAGAGAGAGGAAGCAGGCTCCCTGCTGAGCAGAGAGCCCGATGCTGGACTCGATCCCAGGACCCTGGGATCATGACCTGAGCCGAAGGCAGAGGCTTTAACCCACTGAGCCACCCAGGCACCCCGAGGAGTGTGGGTTTCTTGGACCTGTCTCCACATTTTGAAAGTCAAAACTCTATCCAAGCAAAAGGCAACAATTTATTTACCTAGAAATGTTTACCTTTGTCCAAGAAACCCATAATGATAACCTAGGGGAACCAAGGTAGGAGAAGAGAGGGCAGTGGGTCTACCTATAACATTGATCATCATCTTAATCACTCTTCTGGATTCTCCGAGGGTTGCGAGTTCTGTACTTAGTGCTCCATTAGTATAAATATTCTTGGCTGGCTTATCTACTTATCTACCCACTTCCCACAAAGCCCCATGGCAAAGATGATGCTGGCAACGAGGAAATGGGGGCAGGAAATCAAAGATAGATTTGTGCCATCCTCTGTGAACTGAATTCTAGCCTAAGGGGGCAAAAAATAAAGTTACAAGTTTCTGGAATATCTATCTAGATTGTAAAAGCCGTAAGGAAACTGTGCAAGAAGGGGCTATGGGCGCTCCGAGTTCTCAGGGATCATGCCACAGTAAAGCTTATAGGTGGTGTAGAAGAGGACCATCTTATCCTGGCCAAACTTAGTTATTGATTAGTCTGGCACTACCATTCTTCCAATTCCAAATAGAACCTGATGGACACCTATCAGATTATTTGCCCTCCCCTTCTAGGCCCATGGTGAGGGATGGTACTTAATTCCTGAGCCCCTGCCACACTTGATTGATCCAGGAGTGGATCTCTTACTGGAAATGTGGAGCAGGGCTCTCCTAAGTTTATCTTAACTGATACTTATATAAAAGCTCTAAGATATAGTCAGGGAATGCATTATTTTAATTTTTTTAAAAGATTTTATTTATTTGACAGACAGAGATCACAAGTAGGCAGAGAGGCAGACAAAGTGAGAGGAGGAAGCAGGCTCCCTGCTAAGCAGAGAGCCTGATGTGATGTGGGGCTCGATCCCAGGACCCTGGGATCATGACCTGAGTCGAAGGCAGAGGCTTTAACCCACTAAGCCACCCAGACACCCAGCGAATTATTTTCATTTTAACATGAAAATACTGTGGCTCAAAAAAACCAGGGTCCTTACTTGAGATTACATAGCTAGCAAATGGCAGGTCTCATGACTTCAGAAAGTTCCATGTGTATATGTGTATTTTATTTATTTTTGTTTTATTTTATTTTATTTTTTAAAAGATTTATTTATTTAAGGGCACCTGGGTGGCTCATTCAATTATACATCTGCCTTCTGTTCAGGTCATGAACCTAGGGTCCTGGGATCAAGCCCCATACGGGGCTCCCTTTTCAGCTGGGAAACTGCTTCTCCCTCTTCCTCTGCTCCTTTCCCTGCTCATCCTCTCTCTCTCTCAAATAAAAAAAAAAATAAAATCTTTAAAAAAATTTGAGAGAGAGAGAGAACAAGTGTAGGGGATGGGGAGGGAGAGGGAGAGGGAGAGAAAGAATCTCTAGCAGTCTCCCTGCTGAGTGAGGAGCCCCATGTGGGTCTCAATCCCAGGACCTTGAGCTCATGACCTGAGCTGAAATTAAGTGTCAGACACTCAACCTACTGAGTCACCCAGGTGCCTCTGTGTATTTTAAACTACATATAAGTAGGCTGCCTCTCCATGGTGGACTTTCAGGCAGTACAAGATTGGTGAGGCACCATTTCCTGGCCCTGTCTAGTCACCCCAAGTAATCAGATCAGCCTTCTTTTTTTTTTTTTAAGATTTTATTTATTTATTTGACAGAGAAAGAGAGAGAGAGAGAGATTGAGCACAAGAAGGGAGAGTGGAAGAAGGAAAAGCAGGATCCCAGCTGAGCAGGGAGCCCGATGCTGGATTCGATCCCAGGACCCCAACAAGATCATGAGCTGATCACTGAGCTGAAGGCAGTCGCCCTAACCAACTGAGCCACCCAGGTGCCCTCAGATCAGCCTTCTTACTTCTACTTTAGGAACTCATCCTCTGGTAAACTCTAATATGCTTATAGTTCTTGTGGAAGTAGAAAACTAAAGAACAAGGATTTACTCTGTAAACCCCAAGTCCCCACTTGACTGGAGGAGTGAAAAGCAATTTGTATTCATAACAATTGTGACCAGAAAACAATATGTGTTTTGACCCTGCCTCTGCTGCTTACTTAAGTTGTCTCATTAGCATGTTAATCTTGAGCAAGTCAATTAAGCTTACTGAATTTGTTTACTAATTGGTGAAATGAGAATAAAACTTGTTGTAATACTTAAATCATTACTGAAGAGATTAAATAAAATACCATATATATGTTTTATTACAAACTGATCTAAGTAAGGGTGTGTTATTTATTTTCAGTTACAAATTCTGCATAACACTACAGTTTACAAAGTGGTATAATTGTTCCAACTAATGATTTAAACTAAGATCAGGGCTGGCCAGATAAGAAGACTGTTCACCAAAAAAAAAAAAAAAATCTTCCAATCCTTCTGCCATAGGGCTAAAATTTCATTGTTGCAGTTTTATTTATTTGAGTTATGATATTTTCTTTAGTTTTCAAAACTATTAAAATACAAATAGCTCTGCGAAGAGGCCAAATCACACACCACATCAACTAACACTTCAAGGAAATTAAATTTAAGCTCTAAAAGAAAAGGGACTAGGGGCAAAAAGAGAACTGAAAGGCTCAGAGATGATGTATATTTCTCAACCCATACTAAACAGAACTTAGAAATAAACCTGTCCAGAGCCCATACCTGTTTTTGGCAGTGATGTACGACAAGATATTTTGATTGAAGAACTTCAGGATCAATGGAATGCAGTTGGCAAATACCAAATGTTGTGACACATATTCAAACTGGATTAAAAGATCAAAGCAGAAAGGGCTGCTTATTTGTGGGATAATAGAAGGTACATACGAAAAATAGGATTGGCAAGCACAACTCTAATATCCATTCCTAAGAGTATCTATTGTCTACTTGTATTATCAGTCCTCCTGTCTGAGAAGTGGGGAGCAGCATCATCTAGCCAGCTCACCCTGCAAGGAGGGGGACAATCTGCAGTGTGTGTATGTTGCCAGCACCTGACCAAAAGCACAAAACATAAACAAGACAAAAAGAAAATCCCACTCCAGGTAAATAGAAGGAATTGCTGCAATATTTGTTCCTAAGCTCAACAAGAAAGGAAGACTCCCTCTGGGAGCTGTCTTCCATACCAAACCTCTGTTTCATAGTGTTTCAACAGTGATTGATAGAGCAGGAACAGGTGCAGCTTACTCCCAGCAACTGCTGGCATCATTCAGACAGGATGGATATGGCACACAGTAACCAAGTGAACCACTGGAATGTGGGCTCCAGCATGAGTCTGTCTGGTTCACTATATTATCCCTGGACTTACATTATCAGTATTTTAATGAATGGATTAACAAGAGCCCTTAGGTCAACAGATACTGTACTGAGAATAAGTCCAAGATCTCTCTGATGGGCTAATCCCAAGATCTCTTTGATGGGCTAAACACTAGAAATAGGGATTCCATTTTGCTCTCTTGAATTTGGATGGGGTCTGTGTCTGGGAAGACCTAGTGGGCAGTATCCTGGAGTTGCATCACCTGGATTTTACCTGTGATGCACTGAGGAACATCAGACACAGTTTTCTTCCAGATCCAGAACCCAAACACTGGGACAGTACAGAAACTGGGTTGAAAAGCAAAAAATTGTGGTGTTTTAAATCCCGTAGCTTTTCCTGATCACCAAGAAGTAGCCTTGCCACCAAGCCAAGCTGCCCTCTGCCCCTGTGTGTGTGTGGTTAGAGGCGGGAAGTAAGCTTGTGCTGCCCCTTTCTCTCTTCTGCTCAAATATTTTCTCCCTGGCAGCCGACCTGGGGTATTTTCCAAAGCTCCAGATGGAGCAGCCAATACATACCCGCTATGAAGTTATGGAAAATGTTTTTCAATTTGAGATGTGTCTGTAGCCTTGTTGGGATTCACCAACACTGACACACACTGGCAAGGACCATCAAGCCACCCACCTGTCTGGCTGTTGATCTACATACTGCCCACCAAGAGAAGCAGACAGAAAAAACATGTCTATGGTTCTCTGTTCTTGCTACTAGGAACACTATCTCCCTCCCACCCCTACTCCTCCCAGCCCTGCTGTTGCTCAGCAAACACTGGCAGAAGAAGTGCAAGAACCCAGGACACCTATAACACACCCAAAGATGTCTCTGAATGTACTAGAGTGGAGAAATACCCTGATTATATAGGCAAAGCTATATGCATACAGACCCTGCAGGAGGCTCTGTGCACTCTGAGAACCTGCTGTTCTAACAGCAAGCTTGGTTCTGACTTCTTAGGAGAAAAGTGGGGCAAAGACACTGAGCAGTCATGAGGTACCTCCTCTCCTCCCCACGTTCTCAACACAGAGACCATCCATTACCTGCCCTCAGGTTCTCTGATATCTTGGCAATGTCCACAGTACCAAGTCCAAACTCCTCAGCATGGTAAACAATGCCTTCGTGGGGAAGCAGCTTCTTAACCTTTCCTACGCTCGGCTTCATTTATAAAACAGGGATAAAATAACACCTACCTCGTAGGATTAAGAGAATAAAATGAAATGCCACACGAACTTAACAGAGTGTTGGGCACATTATAAGTACTCAGTAACTGTGTGCTATCATACGTATTATGATCTGCTCCCTGCTATCCTCTCCAGCTCCATGTATCACCAGGCCTCCCCATCTCCCCCTGCTCCAGGGAGAACTCTAACAACATTTAACCAGTTTCCAAAGGTATTTTTTCTTCTCTCCTCTGGCCTTCCATAGATTAACATTTCTGCTCGAAATGCTTCCTATCTTCTTTCCCTGATACCTCCCATATCCTTACTAACATCTGTTTCTTTAGGATTCAGGTTAGAAGTCACTTCTTCTCTATCATTGGTTGGATTACCAGCCAGAGCTTACCTGTATCATACACTTATCATTCCATAATTAGCTATTTATATTATAAGACTTCAAAGCCCTTAAGAGCCGAAACTATGCCTTATTCAGGATTATATCTCAAATGTTAAAAAAGAAAGAGGGCTTCACATATAGAAAAGTTTTTCTACATAGTTTTTCCCCACTTTTTTTTTTTTTTTTTTGTGTGGAATACTTGAATCCTGTCTTGCACTGCTTCAAAGCTGGCTGGGCACATTCCTAAGAAGCCAAGGATTCCTACCCACAACCGTTGGATAATGTTCAAAGGACACAGACATCTGCACCTGTCTAGGACAGTTCCTCACATCCCACTCCATACCCCTCCGCAAGCTTGTGCAACAGGTATAAGAATTCCCGAGGAGGACAAAGCAGAGGCTGAAAGATGTTCAATTGGACCAAAAAGGCCCCTATATCCCTTCTTTGGGAGACAGGGCCTGGAGAACACCTGAGACCTGCGGAGAAGTGCTGTTAGGTGCTCACCTGGTAGATATGGTTCAGTTTGAAGTGTTTGAGGAGGAGCAGGAGCAGGGCAGAGATACTCTTTACAATGATCTCCTTGTGTCTGTTCACATCGATGCCCAACTTCATGCTCTGGAGAACAGTGATGCTACAATGGGGAGAGGAGGAGTCAGTGCGAAGAGAGGCTTAGAGAGAGGCCTACAAAGACCCAGGTATTCAGGTCAGAGACAACATATACAAGAAAGCCAGAACTTGGGCGATCTGAACTTCTGCACTAGGGAAACCTCCAGAGTTCCCACTTATGAGCTCCTTTGCTCTTTTTCTTCTCCCTTTGGCAAGAGCTCATCACGTGGCAACGTCCACCCACATACCTATGCAACCAGTCACTGGCACTGATGTTGCCCTGCAGACCCTCGGTTTTGAGCTAAAAAGGAACCCAACAGAGAGCATTTCAGTGGAAAGGGAAGAGACCTCTTTGGAGATAATCCCTATGAGTGTTAACAAGGTGGGGTGGGGACTAGAGAGATGCTGTAGACAAAACAGCTAGCATTCAGCAGCCAACCCAGTTGAAGCACTCACGGCATCTCCTCAGGCAGGACATCTGCCAGGATATTGATAGAGTCTGTCTTAGCTTTGGAGGTGGGGGCTGCAGCCAGCAGAATCTTAAGTAGAGCAATCTAGGAAGTAGAAAATGAGGAGATCCATCTCTGTCCATCCCATTCAACAAGGCTATTTTTCCACACCTCAAAAGCCTTATGAGAAGTGTTTTAATGCTTCTATGTTCATTCTTCAGTAACCAAGTATCCCCAGCCTCCAGAAGGGCAAACAGGTGCCCAGTCCTGAGAGACCTGCCTGTACACTGAGGAACCAGAAAGGAGCTATATGCTGTCCTGCTTCAAGACTGCTCTTGAGGAATAGAGAGGCAATACCTAGAAATAAGGTGAGAGATATAAACACAATCTCACCTTCTCTAACCCTTTCCTTCCTCTGACCCTGACCATCAGCATCCTCACCACTCAGTCTGAGGCTCTCTAGGACATGACAGACCATGGCCTTAGAGGGACTAGGGTACTTACTTAGGAGGGCTCCCAATACATCCTGCATGAACCCCAACTTATTCTCCACCTTTCCCAAAGAAGGACTTGGAAGTATAGCCAGGTCTTCCTTCCTCTTGGAGAAGCCTTGAGGAAAGCTCAGAATTCTAATGTGTTAGAGAATGCTTTCCCTCAGGGGTGAAGGCTCAGGGAACAAGCTCAAATAATGGACAGGTCAGCTTGAAATGGTTCTCAGCTGTCTGTTCCTGGGGTAGAGAAGGGCAGCTCTGGCCCAGCTGTCTCCTTACCATGTACTGAGGGAGGCTGTAGAGCATGCCCTGGTAGAGGATTTCACATGGCGTTTCTGGTACCACCTCTTCCCCCTACGGCAGGAAATACAGTTTGTCCAGGTCATTTTCCAGTTGACCAAAGGCTATGTTTTCTTAGTTGTGAAGGGTGACATGAAAAGATCGCTAAGCTGGGAGTCAGATCTAGGTTCCTATCCAGCTGTGTTAACGACTCATTGTATCACCTTAGGTAAGTTTACTTCCTCTCTGGGTCTTAGTTTCCTCTTCTTTAGGATCACTGGGCTGGTCTGATGTCCTCTGAGGGCTCTTCCAGTCCTGACAATCTATAATTCTGGTTTTCCCATTATCTGGAATCAATATAGAATCCTTCTTTCCCCATCACATGTTGGATCAGGAGTCAGAACACCTACCTAGGAGTTGGCTCAAACCACTGCTTTTCTGGCCACACATGGGCTTAAGTCAGGGTGCACATATGGCTGGGACACCCCACACAGGAGCACTTCCTATGGTGTCACTCTAAGGCCATCCAAGAGCTCTGGAATATTTGGAAGTGAGAAGTAGGTAACTCAGCAGAGAAGGTTGATAAGGGAGTTGGGTAGCCCATGGCCAGGAGAGGCAGGAAGGAATATTAGGAGGGAAGCTTTTAAGTAGAAACTATTTTCTTTCCTTCTCCAGTAGCCCCTACTACATCTCTTCCTCCTTTATGACCAGCCCCCTTGTCCGCAACTCTCTTCGTCCTTTGATGACCCCATCTAATCCTTTTTATCAGAGCAGGAGGACTGGGGCCTCGGGTATTTGTGGGGCTACTCAGGCCATCATCATCTTTGGACAGTTCAGTTCCTCCTCCCGCAAGATACCTCTTTTCCAGAGCAAGGGTCACTGCCTTGAGACCCTGAGGTAGGGAGGAATGACCTGGCCCCTGCCATCCCATATAACTCAACTGCTGCTTAAATGGGCATTCAGTAAACTCAGGCAATAGATCTTTAGGAGAGCAGGTTGCCTTCCTGCTCTTCCAAAAATCTATTTCCTACCTTCTCTTCTGCTCTGTCCTCAAACCAATCCCCTCACCACCCCCCAACCCCTCAACAGTTGCTAACCCAGCCTCATACTTCATAGAGAAAACAGAGGCAATCAGACGGTTCATCTTCTCAACACCAAATATACTAGGGTCTCTACCTTCCTTCCTCCTTTTTTTTTTTTTAAGATTTTATTTATTTATTTGACAGAGAGAGATCAAAAGTAGGCAGAGAGGCAGGCAGAGAGAGAGGGGGAATCAGGCTTCCTGCTGAGCAGAGAGCCTGATACAGGGCTCAATCCCAGGACCCTGAGATCATGACCTGAGCTGAAGGCAGAGGCTTAACCCACTGAGCCACCCAGGAACCCCTCTACCTTCCTTCTTGACATGAAGTGTGAACCACGTTTGTTCTGTTAAAGGCCGACCCACCACTTGTGCTGGGGATCTCTCAACCCTTCTGCTTTGTCGAATGGATCAGTTCTGCAATTGTCTCTTCTCTTCCAGATCATCTCTTTTAGGACATAAATATATTCCAGTGTCTTCTAACTTTAAAACACTTTCCTCTGACCCCACATCCTCCTTCAGCCAACATTCCATTTCTATCCTCTCTGCAATAAAACAATGTTGTCTGTGTTGACCATCTACCTCCTTTCTTTGCATTCCTTTTTCAACTAGGCTACAAGCCCCATCTCTTCATTTGAGGTTGCTCTTATCAAGGTCACTAGTTATTTTCATGTAGCCTGATCCAATGGGCACCTCAGATCTTACCCATTTATCAGCAGCACTGGACACAGCTGATCACTCCCTTCTTGAAAAATTTTTTCTTGGCTTTTATAGTATCACAGTCTCCCACATTCTCTCCCACCTCACTGAGTGTTTCTCTTACTCTTCTTTTCTGGCTCCTTTCCTGACTCATCCCACCCTCAACACAACTGGTGCACTCCAAGACTTTGTCCAGGGTCCCATCCTCTATCTCTATTCCCTCCCTGGGTTATCTCAGCCAGTTCTATGGCTTCTAACACTATCCATTAAGTCAAGAGCTCCCAGATTTATTTCTCTAAGCCAGTCCTCTCTTTGAACTCTAGACTTATATATTCAGTTACATGGCTGCTCACATGAATGGTTGCTTAATGGATATCTAAAACTGAGTATGACCAAAATAGAACTCTTGATGAAACAGAACCCCCCACGTTTCACCCTGCTTCTACTCTTTTCTGGTAAAGTCTTTACACAGCAGCCAATGGTTTTAGACAATGTAAATCAGATCATGTCATCCCCCTGCTTGAAATCTCTAAGGGCTTACTTCTATATTGTGAAACAACTTCGCAATCCCTATCTTTGTTTACAGATCCTTTATTAAGTGGCCCCAGACCACCTCCCTGACTCCATCTCATACAACCCCATCCCTCACCCCTGTATTCCAGCCATAGGCCTCCATTCACTACCCCTAATACTCTGAGGTTGCTCTTACCCTCATTAAGGCTATTCTCTTCGCCTAGAATGCTCTTTCCCCGATATTCCTATGGCCAGCTCCTTCTTGTACGTCATATTTTAGCTTAACTGTCACCTTCTCAGAAGTCTACCTATCCTGACTTCCTAATTGAAAGTAGTCTCCTACATGACAGATGCCTCTATCATGCCATCCTATTTAAATTTTCTTCATTGTATCTCCCATTCTTAATTGTCTTCTTGTTTCCTTAATTACTTATTTTCTTTTTTCTCTAACTTTAATGTATCATGAAAGTAGAGACCTTTGCCTTGCTTGGCACATAGTAAGAGCCCAACAGTATGCACATATGCTCTGTGACAGCACTGCAGACAGATTTCCTCCTGCCTTTCTCCTGAACAGGACCCCCTTGACTCACCAAAGACATGGGGCACTTCTCCAGATCCTCCTCATTCTTGATTTGAACATCTGCAATGGAGATGTACTTGTGCTGGGAAAGAAAAGACATCAATTAAGAGGCTGAGGTTACTAAAAAAAATTTTCTTTTTAATTAAAAAAAAAGGGAGGGTGCCTGGCTGGCTCAGTCTAAAGAATGTATGACTTTTGATCTTGAGGTTGTGAGTTTGAACCGTGTTGAGTGTAGAGATTACTTAAAAAAAAAAAAAAAAGATACTGAGGGCCCCAATCATGTATGTACCAGCCTCTTGCTTAACTTCCTCAATGATAAGGAAAGGTCCTGTATATGAGTTGTCACCCCAAATAGAACATAAACTTTGAAGGTAGGAGTCTTAACATTGAGTCCAGCGCTTCATATACAATGTCTGTGTTTATTCTATGTTCCTATATTTGTTGAAGAACAGAAATACTCAAGTATTTATCTTCAACCAAAGGGCAAGGGGAAGTAAAGGAGAGTCCCATGCCCCTGGACCACTACCCTGAGAGTTTTGCTGCATGTGAATATGCTTCCGTGCATGTATATGGAATGATGAAGGAGTGAGGGAGAGTTCAAGGTCTCATCTCATCAAGAGATGACTCTTTTTACTCTTTGCACTCATATATACTCTGGATGCAGAACAGACTGCTACTAATCCTAGCCTTTGGGAGTTAGTGGCCCTATAGGAAGAAAGAAGTGAGAGGAAAGGAGCGAGGAAGAGGAAGAGAGAAAGAAGGGTGGGAGGAGGGAAAAGGCATGAGAGGAAGAAAGGACAACTTTTTTATCTATCTGAATGTAGGAAAATGGTTAAGTAGGAAGAGACTTAATTTCCTCCTCTTTGGCCAGAACTCCTGAAGGAGAAATACAGAATGTGTCTGGTAGAAGAGCCAATAACCAGGACGTTGGTAATCAAACTTGCCTTGATGGCTCCCTATCCCTGAAGACTGAGAGCCCACCCTGGTCACCTGCTTTAGAGTCTTCACACTCTCGTGGATGGGCCTGGGTAATCCAACCAAGGTATCTGTGTCCCTGTGAAATGTGAGATAAACCAGATCATAACTATCAAAACTTAGAGAACTACTGGTAAATCACTGACCTCTACCTCTGAAACTAATAATACATTATATGTTAATTAATTGAATTTAAATTGGAAAAAAAAAAAAAACAATAGAGAACCACTGATATCCCCTGGAGTTACATGGACCATGCACTTTCAACATGTGGTATTCTGGATTTTTCCCTTCAAGCTTCCAGGTCCCCCATTATTGTTTCAGGACACAAAAAGAAAAATGCCACACAGAAATGTTCCTGAAAATTAGGATTTTTGTATAGTCTTTTGTGCATTTACTTTGTCAGGGAATGGTAGGTTCCTTAAAAGGGCATGTAGCCCAACTATAGTGAAATACCAGGAACAAGGCCTTCTCCATTTTGTAGAGCTCAGCCAGTGTGAGGAATTCATGGGGGAGGAGATATGAGGGAAGACTGGATCTGTTCTGACCATATTGCTTCTTCACAGAATTCTGGCCCATTAAAACAGGAAGGACCCCTAGGGACAACACTCTCATGACAAAACTGAAGCCCAAGAGGGAAATGACTTGTCACTCAAGGTCCTACACCTAGCTAAGAACATAAGAGTTCTTCGAGGAAACTGGAAGGAAAAAAATTCCATGGCACCAGGCCAAAGTCATTAGGAGATGTCCATAGTGTCTCTAGGTTACACCACAACTAGCAGGCAACATCTCTTTTTCCAGCCACCCACTCCTCTGGCCCCTTAAGAACCACTTTATAGTCAGCCATCTAGTCACTTACTGCCCCAGAGTGAATCCGATGAATTTGTTCCTGCTCATCTCCAAGAAGTGCTCAATGTCCTTCTGTCTGAGAGGACAGTGGAGAGATAATTCCCAGAAAAGGAAAAAAAAAAAGGCAAACCTTGAGAGACAGAATGTTTCTGAGCTCCTAACCCTTCGAGGAGGATTAGAGCAGTGGGGGAAGAAGCAGCTAACAGAGAAAACTTCGAATCAGGAGTTCTGACTTCTAGCCCAGCTTATTGAGACTTGAACACATAGATCACTGCACCCTGGGACTTCAGTGATTCTAGTTCCAAAACTTGGGGTCCCCAGAGTTATCAAACCTACCTGACCTTTGGGGCCCAGGGTAGGCCCTTGGGAAAGGCCACCCGCTCAGCAGAAAGGGATGCCTGTGAGGGTGGAGGTGGCACAAGAGGGTCTTGCTCTAGCAAGTCTAATTCTCCATCCAAGGTTCGTTCTCCATCACCAGCAGAGTCCTCTTCCTCCTCTGTGGCTGGCTCCTCTGTCTTAAAGAGGTCTCTTTCATTGTAGATGTCCAGGCTGTCCTGCTTAGTGAGGAGTTGCTGGGCGGGGATTGGGATGGCAGAGAGAATGTATACAGAGGTCTTACTCTGAGCATCTTTGTTTGAGGTCACCCTCTACCCATAAGCTACTAGACTTCAGGATATGTGGGGTAACAACCCAGCCCTTGTAAGAATATCCCCTTCCCCACTTAATCTATCCACCAGGCCCAATCCCAAGACAAGCACCTCTCAGGCAACCAAGTCATTGGCTGGAGAACAAAGCATACATAATCCCAAAGTCAGTTACTTAGCTTTCAGAAAGCATGGATTTTTTTCCTCCCAGCACTTTACTTCCTAACTATGTTCTGCTTAGGTGAACATTCAATTAGTTTGCCTTCTGTGAGCTTATACCAGCTGGCTGACTGAGGAAGAGGAGGACAGAGGCTTGCTGCTAGGCAGAGGGAAGCAAGTTTGGAATTTTAAAACTTGTTGAAGAAAAAAAGATTGGACAGAAATAGGCCAAAAAGTTAACAGTGAGTGCCTCTGGTTTGTTAAGCTTATGGGTGATTTTCTTTTTTCCTCCATTCTTCACATTTTTATATTTCTTCCAAATTTTGTACAAGGAGTATTGCTTTACAAAATAAAAAATAAAGGTTGAAAAAAATTACATTGCTGATTGTGTAGACTGGATTACTGAACATGACTGTCTAACCTGTCACCTGTAACTGGTGAACTCAGGTATTTCGGGGAGGTTAGTTTGTGGGTACACGGCCAAGTCTCAGTGCAACCAATCATTCTGATCTTCCCAGGCATCGGACTATACCTGGAACACTTATCAGTCACCTCCTAAATGTAAGCCTCTGGCTCCAGGGCCAGACAAGAGCATGGCTGGCTCAGAGTAAACCTTGCCGTCAATAAAATGACACGTGCCTCACCCTGGGCACGTGATTTGCTGGGAGCCCTGTTCAGGTGATCTGGGTCCCTATCTTCAGTATCATGCCCTAACTGGTGCCGGGGATAACTCCAGGCATACCAGGTCTGGGCCAGTGACCCTGTATTAACATATGGATCTACGAGGTAAGATCACAGTGTTACCTCATGATAGCCCGGGAGCCTGTGGAGCCAGGAGACAGAGGCCAAAGTACAGACTCCAAGGTTTCAGGTTGGTTACAGGGCAATCAGAGGCAGGATGAGCCTCATCATTTACTGCCCTTTCCTACCACACCCAGAATAGCTCAGAATCTTAATTTTTGGCCAACTAGTATCAAAACACCACTATCTGCTTTTATTTCTTACCCTTCGAGAACCACGGCGGCCTCGCAACTTAGAGGGTGGTGGTGCCAGCTGAGACTCCCCCAGGTCGAGGGTGTACGAGGGTGGGGAGGCGGCGCGCATGCTCTTCACCACCTGGATACTATCTTCCGCCAATGGAGGCAGTCCCAGTTCTGCCCGCTTCTGTACTTTGAGAACCTGTAGACGCTCAAATCCACCGAGGGTAAACTATAGTATAAACAGGAAAGGGGCAGAGGAGAGGAAAAGAGGGAAGTCAGAAGAAACAAGATCAGGGAAATGTGGATGGAGAGGAAGAGCCATAATCTCCAGTCCCATTGGGGCCCCTTCTTAACTAAGAAGTAATAAAACAGGAAGGGGCAAATGTAGTTACTATTCCCAGTTTGAGGAGCTCAGGGGTCAGGATAAAGCATTGTTTACTGACTCAGGGCTGGAAACATCACCAGAAATTAGGAAAAGGACTCCTGGGGGCTTCCAGTGGGAAAAAAAAAAAAAAAAAGGAAATTGTGCCCCCTTTTTAAGGAGCACAACCAGATGCTATAAAGCCCAAGTCACACAATTTCTCCTGCAGTCAAAAGGTGATTCCAGGGGCACCTGGGTGGCTCAGTGGGTTAAGCCGCTGCCTTCGGCTCAGGTCATGATCTCAGGGTCCTGGGATCGAGTCCCGCATCGGGCTCTCTGCTTGGCAGGGAGCCTGCTTCCCTCCCTCTCTCTGCCTGCCTCTCTGTCTACTTGTGATCTCTCTCTGTCAAATAAATAAATAAAATCTTAAAAAAAAAAAAAAAAAAAAAAAAGGTGATTCCACCCTGTGAAGCTTGCTCTGGAGGGTATGTTGTTCAGGCAGTCCTATGGAGTGGGAGCCAGAGATGAAGGATCAGATTTAATAATTAGCAACAGAGCTGTAACCATATACTTATAAAGATTCATTTTCTTAAGATTTATTTATTTATTTTAGAGAGAGAATGTGAGCAGGGGGAGGAGCAGAAGGAGAGAAAAAGAGAGAGAAAAAGAGGGAGCGTGGAGTCTAACGCAAGGCTCGATCCCACAACTCTGAGCTCATGACCTGAGCCAAAATTAAGAGATGGACACTTAATTGAGCCACCCAGATGCCCTAAGACTTCTTTTTTTTTTTTTTTTTAAAGCAAATCCTCTTTTTATCTGGTTGGAGAACAGGCAATAAACCCCATATTTTGTAGCTAGAAAAACTGAGGCACAGACAGTTGCCTGATGTTGCTCAGTGCAAGTAGAGTCTAGATCTCCCAGCTCTCAACTAGTATTCTTTCCATGAAATGTCAGTTCTACCATGGGGAGGTACAATGACACCCCAACTCACAGAGTGACATCTCCTGTCAGTCCAATAGAAACAGGTAACCTGCTCTGACACAGAACATATGATTTCTGTCCATTGGCTAACAGCTGCCCTATTCTTCTGCCTAGCTCCAGCCTCCTGGAATCAGACTATAAGAAAGTGAGGTGGCAGAGGGCACTGCTGATCTGATGAGCTGGGAGTAGAGCGGAGGGGGGTAGGGGTCAGCCACTTACCATAACCACTTTCCAGAGCAAAAGCAGGACCTTCTTTATGGGGAAGTGGGGAGACAGGCCACTGCAGAACTTGGTAACCATGGAGAAAAGCAGAAGGGCAAAAGGTTCCTCATTATGCATGGAGAAGCCTGGGGAAGAGGAGAGAGAGAAGTGAGAAAGTGAGAATAAGAATGCTAAAACCCTGTCCCTTTAACCTGCTTCCGGACACAATGAGGAAGGCTCTCACCTCCTCCAAAGAATTTGAGTACTTGTTCCTTAAAAGGAGGCTTAGAAAGGCCCCAGGGGGAAGGGCAGGAAGGGAGGTCATGGAGGTAAAATGGCTTAGTCCCAAGATTGAGGGTGGATACCAAACTAGAAGTAATAGTAATAAAGATGTTGCTTTTTGGCTGAAGGACTCAAAGCATTTCATAGATTACAACTCACTTTCCCACATCAGTCTAATATATTTTAAAAATCCCATAGGCCTTCATATCTTATCCCTGTCTGATGACAACATCAGTATTTTCAAGGCGATTCAACTCATTTTTCCATGTGAGATTGATAATGAAATGTGAGATGGATGGCTATTTCTATTTTAAACCAAGGAAACCAAGGCATAGAAAGGACACATGATTGGTACTAATTCATAGACACAAGGGAAGTCAAGCCAGGTCCTCATGTCTGCCACGTAGTATCTCTGCCCTAAAAGAATGGATGCTAATTAGAAAAGAGGAAGGGGGAAGGAAGGAAGGGAGAAAGGAAGGAAAGCTATCTGTCTCTTCTATGCAGATGTGCAGATGCTATGCTTCCCCTCCACATCAGCATCTCATCCCTACCCTTCCTCAAGTACCACTTCTTACTCAATTCAGTGCGGAAGGTCTCCCGTGCTGTCCTCCAACGGCAGGAGTCTGTCTCTCGCTCCAGGCGAATATTTTCCACCAATAGGTACATGACACTCAGCAGCACCCTGGGGTTATAGAAGGGTTGCAAGAGGTTCCCAAAGCAGCACCCAGCCTGAAGTCAGAGACCTCAGGGATGATCTCTGTGGGAGCCCAACCCAGTGGAATTAGCAGCTACTAGTAGTCTGGGTGTTTCTGGGACTCGGACAAAGAGTAACCCATTGCTAACTATCCCCAGTTTCAAACGTAGGGCCAGCTCCACTTACCTGAGCTCTGTGCTATCAGCAATGGAGATGGCTGGTTTCCGAAGAGCACTGCTACAGGCCTGACTGTTGCTGCCATGGGAAGGAAGGAGAGAACAGGAACTCATAAGGCCTCTTTACACCCTGTGTCCCTACTTATCATATACACAAATGTGAGTACCTGCTATTTCCTGGCTATGTAGCTAAAAGAAATTGGTCTAAGGTAAACGAGCCCACCAAATTCCTCTGCCATCTCAGTAAACCTTTATCTGTGGTGAAGATGGACAAGGGCAGGGTCTGTGACAACCCCTCCTCTTATAATCCACACTGTACCTAGCACTGTGTTGAACACAAAATAGATGCTAAGCAACACTTTCAATCTGCCCTCTTTAAACTCCTGGGTAATAGGCATGAGATAAAACAAGGGATCCCTATAGTGGTAGCAGCAGATAAGGCCATCTCTAGAGCTATGACCCATGAGGGAAGAATTGGGCATAGCAACAGAAATTGGTCCTATCCCTCTTGGGTCATGTTCTCAGGTAGAACAGTTTCCTTCATGGATTCCAGAGTTAGGCTGAGTTGAGAAGGGCACCCACCTAGGATAGGACCCTAAAGCCCAGGACTAAAGCTGTGAGTGGGGCAAAAGCTATTGATGAGTCCAACCTCAGGGAGGAGGACAGAATATCAGAGAGCATGGCTGGATAGAGGGGAACTGTCAGGAAGCTTTGGGCTGAGGTGTGAAGAGCCCCTGCTCCCACAGAGGTCTCTACAGTGAGGGAATCAGCATAAAACATGAGGCACACTCCAAGGAAGGGGGTTGTCTAGGCCAGTTCTTCCCTAAGGCTTCTCACTCGATTTCCATGTGGAGTAGCTCCAAGAAGGCCGAGAAGGTCCCCATCTGATAGAGCAGGAAGCAGTTGTACCTGGACCAGTGTAGTACATCGACCTCTGAATCACATTCCCCAAAAGTGCCTAAAGAACCAGATAGTGTCATACGGGGTTGAGGTGAGAGGGATATCCAATTCTTTCCACCCTTCCCCATGGTCTTAAGACTATCTTCCAACAACTTGCCCAACAATTAGGCTGACAAAGGTAGGGCAAGGGCCCTCCAGAACTCCCCTGAATAAGGCAGTGTCCAGAGTCAGGTCCAATGTGCTTATCACTGGCCTGTCTTAAGTTTGAGTTCCCTGGGAAGCAGATCCCGAGAGAAGGATTCAAAATACAAGAAGTTTACTTGGGAGATGATCTCAGGAACCATTAATAGAAAAGTGGGGAAGTGAGAGAGGGAAGAAAAGGCAGCTGAAGAGCTGAAACCCAGGTTGGGGGAAGCTCTGGGAAACAGTGTATGTTTTATACCCCTCAGAATCATCCCACCCAAGAAGGGTGAGGTAGTTGGGCTATTCATCCACTAATTCCTGTCATTCATTGATCAGGGCTACTGGACTAGAAGAGCACATTAATTCCCTAGCACTTCCTGCCTACCCTGTATGGGCTACAGAGAAAGCTCTTAGGTAAAAAGTTAAAGGTACTAGCAGTTGGAAGTTGGCCAGAGCACCAGACCCACGAGATATGGTTAGGCACTGCCCTGTTTGCTACAGTCTTCCCTTTAATATTCTCCTACCATTTATTATTTTCTTTAATAGTTTTGATTTTGTTTTGTCGTTGTTGTTGTTTTAGCTCCCAGCTACTTGGTTCTATCAATAGTCCTCTGTTTATGATCTCAAGGTATACTTTTACTATTCCAGTTAGGTTATCTCATTTCTCTTTCGAATACCTGGCTGTTAGGTCTCTTCTGGGAAGGTTTTTGAAATTAATCACACCAAGTTCTGATCCCAATTACCCACTGCATCCACTCCTGCTGCTATGCTGACTTGAACCCTCTAAATGCCAATGAGAAATAATGCAGAGGGTTCATGTGTGAATATGTGGCACTCCATTACCTCCCCTCAGTGGAGGTTAGAGCCATAGCTGAAGAAAGTAAGCCTCCGTGCTCAGCTGGTGGTACACTAACTCTAGCCACACTGACTCTCTTACTAAGTCTCCACATATATTTATAGCCCACAAGCAGGAAAAAAGAACTTTATAAGAAATCTTGCCATGCCTGGTAAGATAAAGGCCAGTTCCAAGGGATCCAGAATAGTACCCACCACCATCTCCTTAACTTCCTTATAAGCATCAGGTTACTCCTAGCACTTGACAAGATCTGTCCCTGGGAGGCAGCGACCTTGCTTTCTTAGCATGGCCTGCCTCATCCTAGTCTTGATAATATTTCTCTCCCTAGTTTTCACCTATCTTAAGCTGGCAAAGGTGGCCACTTGCCTTGGGCCAGGTACAGAACAGCCCGGGCCACCTTTAGTCGCCGTTCCCTACTGACCACCTCCAGTCGGTCCAGGAGTCCCATCACATAGGCCTTTTGGGCATCTTCCTCCAATTCCAGCCACTCCTTGCCCTGCACTGGGGAAAGAAGGCCATACAGATCCAGTGTCAGCTTTTGCCTCCCCTTCCTAGAAAGGCTCCTGATAACATACCCAGCCCCCAACAAATTCTTCTCCTCAAAAGATTTCCTTATTTAGCTGAGAAAGAATAAGAGATTGGAAAAGTAAAGAAACCCCAAAGTTCTGGCTAAACCCACTCTGCAGTACATCTTTCTCCATATCCCCTTTATTCTCCACACAAAGCCTACCTATTCTGTCCTATCTCTCTGCCTTTTCAAGGAGTTCCCTCTCTCCCTATATATCCAATTCCTATTCATCATCACAGGTCCAATACTAAATTACCTCTTTCCCACTAATGCTCCAGCCAGAAGATCTCTCTCCCAAGATACTCCTCCCCTCCAATCCCCCCAAGATACCTTTTACTTCTTTTCTGATACTTACCACTTTCCTTTTGTCCTCAGTTAGTTTTGTGATGTACACACTTCCCCTCTGCCACTGGACTATAATCTCTTTGAAGATTCTGCAAATTTACCTTCACCCCTGCCCCCTACATCTTGCACAAAACAGTACTCACCACACATCTCCTGAGTTGCAAACTGAATTCACTGACCAAGTAAGGAAATGGAGGTCTGAGACGATCAGTGTAGACACATGAAATTATTATTAGATGCTATTAGGAGTGAGGCAGAGTTGGAGGCAGGGATTGAATGTTAAAGTCAAGGACTACTCCAGGCACAGAGTTCAACCAGGCAGCAGGGCACCAGCCCAGTCCCCATCCCTCTGCTCTCTGTGCCTCTTATATCAGTGAAACTGACCAAGCTCAGGCTTCTCCTGCTCCCATTCCATGGCCTCTCCACTTGAGATAAAGGAAATGTCCCACATACAAGAAGGGATAGAGAAGTGGTAATGGAGAGGATGAAGAAGAATCATACTTTGTTTTGGGCGTTTTCTGGATCAGGCTGGGATATCATGGGGGGTGGGGAAGAAAAGCAGGTCTCTACGAATAAGAATCTGGGATCACCTTGAGTCTTGAAATCTTCTTCAAAGCACCTCCTGTTAGTGGTGAATTCCAGGTTTTCAGTGTAGCTATACAATTCTGTGTTAGGAAAGATAGGACAGAGTCACAAACATTCAGCAGACCCTTATAGAAGGGGCCTGGGGTGGAGAAGGTGGCATGAAAGGGCTAAAGCTTCCAACACATTCCTGTGTCCAATTCAATCCAGTGCCAGCCTCCTCCCTTTCGGAGCAGTTAAAAATAGCCACTTGTGTCCCTGGGTGATTAAACCATCAAACCTGTCCTCCTCCTGCCAGCTGGCTGCTACAGCAGAGAAGGCAGTCTTCAACACTTGGTGAGGGCCAGGGAGGGTTCGAGCAGAGAGGGCTTACTGTCATCACTCCTGTTTCTTAGGGCTGCAACCCCTTCTGCTTGTCAACCCAGACTGAGACTAACCTGTCTCTAGGGAAGAGAGGGGCAACACAATGTCTGAAATTTAGAGGCAAGATGCTTGTGTTATTCAAGGAACCAGAGTAAAGGCTGGAGAGTATGTGTTTCATGGCCCTTTGGGGTTGAAGCCAGTTCATTCTCTCCCTGCTGAATTTCCTCAAAGGGTATAGAAGTTTAGGTTCCTGGCCATGACCACCCAGGTAGAGACAGCATCAAACCATATAGAAGCAGCTGTTGATGTCAAAGGGCTGCTTATGCCCAAGAAAATCTAACTCTATTAACAATAGCCTCTGAATACAAAATGCAGAGAGTTTATGAGAAATAAAAATGCCCTTTCCTACACACACACTCCAGAACATTATACCAGGAAGTACCTTCATCTTACAGAGGATGAAGAATTGGAAGTTGAGAAGTCAATAGGTGACAGAACAGATTTCCTCAAAACTCTGTTCCCTGAGACCCTTGCTGGAAATTTAACTAGGTCACAGATAATTCACAAAGAGAAATTCACTTATGTTCCAGCCAGCTGTCTAATGGTTGAGAAACACCTTGTCTGGGAGTCCTGAGTTCCAGAATCCTGGATTGACCAGAAGCAAATCCATCTCTGATTCTGATACTCTTCATGCTCAGTGAATAGTGTGCATATATGTTTTTTAAGAGCACAGCATAAACCCAGTCAGAAAAAGGAACAAGGCTGTTAGGTACTAAACTTCTTGTTTTTACTTTTAAATTTTAGATCATGAACTTCCAGAGACAGATAAATACAGAATACATAAAATACCTGTGTATCTTCTACCCAGATTAAACAAATATTTACACTTGTTATATTTACTTCAGACATCTAAAGTCCCCTTTCCCTCCCCAGTCTATCTTATTCCCTTCTCTAGTGTTAACCATTTTAATGAAATTGGTGTGTATCCTTCACATGCCTGTTTTTGTACTTTTACGGCATATGTATATATCTGTAAACAATATGAAGTTGCGTTTGAAAGTTTTTATCCAAACAGGATATTATATATTTCTCTTGAAATAATTCTTAGTATGTCTTTCAATAGTTTTTTTTTTACATGACTGTAATGAACACATCTGTTTACTTAACCGACACTGTTCTTAATCAAGGGTGCAACTAGACTTCTCAGAAATATCTTTCAGGTTTGTGTGTTTAAGCAGTTTTTTGGATGCATGCATAAATTATTTTGTCACCATTTCTTTCACTCTCAATACTGTTTTTAACATTTATTGATATTGGAACATATTGATATAGATCAATTATTCTAATGATTATGTGGTAGCCTACTATATTGATATGCTACAGTTTACCCATTCCCCTAAGTGGTTTTAAATTTTTCACAATGGTCACAATAAACATCTTTATACATGTTTTCTTGGGCCCAAATGTTCTTTAAAGGGTACATCTAGAATCACTGGGTTATAATATGCATGCATCTTCAACTTTGTTAGATATGACCAAATTGCTTTCCAATTTTGTACTCTGCTTCCTCATGCCAAACAACGTATAAAAGTACTCATTTCGCTGCACCCTCACCAACTTCAGGCTTTTAAGTTTTGCAATCTGATGAATGTGAAATAACATATCGTTATTTTAATTTGCTTTTCCTCATTTACTAATGTAGTTGAACATCTTTTCATATATTTATTGATAATATGGTTTTCTATCCTCTGAATTCCTATTCATATTCTTTGACAATTTATTGGGTTGCTCATCTCTCTTCTCTTCTCTCTCTACACACACATATTTACACATACATGTATACATATATGAAATATATTTATATTATTAGGAATTCTAATCCTTTGTTGGTTATTAAACTCAGCTCTGTCTTTCTGTCACTCATCACAAATTTATTCCCTGTGCTTATTCACAAGAACTTCTTTAAAAGTCCTTGTCTCTTTTCTCTGAAAAAGCATGTCTCAAAGTGTCACTTCCATGTGACAGAATATTTAATTTTCACACCATCTCCACCCAAAGCTCATTTATTAATAACTGGCATTCATAGCACGTGTAACATGGAGGCTCTTGATGTGAGGAGATCACACTTAACTCAAGCTAAAATCCAGACAAAGATAGACAGGGAGAGGATGGCAGAAAGAAGGGGGCATTCATGCAGAGATATGAGTGAATTTGGGAAAAGAAACAGGAGGAATGGGGGAAAGGTGGAGAGAAAACAGATTTGAGAGTGTACCGAAAGAGAATAAAGAAGGATGCGCAGAAAAGGGCGATGGAATAAAAGTGGAGAATACTATTGCCAAAGGAGAATTCACAGAAAGAAATGTAAAAGCAAACAGATATTTACTGCTGGAGGTTGGACAGAAGAAGGAATGTGGAGAACAGACAAGCTGCCAGGGGAGATCACAGACCCCTGCCTTCTCCTCCTGGCTGTCCTTCCACTCTCCACAGACCATCTCTACCTCATACCTGACAACTCTGCTGCGTGCCCATCTGCATCTCCATACTCAAATTCCAGAGTGGGACAGTCCACAGAGCCCTGTAATAGAGAAGTCTTTGCAGTAACTTGGGAAAAGGGATGAAAAAGGAGATTATACTCTCATTTAATCATCTGCTTCTCTCAGAGGCCAAGTTTAGATCGAGGATGCAGCTAGGAGAGTCCCCTCTGGGCCTTTAATACAAGAGGTACCTTCCTTCTAGCCAACATGTGAGGCTCAGTGCAGGGCAGGGCTGAAGGTTCTTATATAAAATCAGAAACTCTGAGTAAAGGGTTAGGATTGTGAATAGATATGAAAGCTACGCAATCTGTGCCTGTGTCTGACCTACATAAACAGGGACCAGAAGAGCATGTAGCTGATTTTTAGAACAATGAGATGAACTAAAACAAAAGAGGTTTTTTTCAGCTTAAACTTAAAGCTTAAGAGCTAATTTCAGCTATGTCGTTAACCCACTGTATGATTTTGGGCAAATCTCATTTTTTGGATCATAGTTCTTCATTTATATAAAAAAAAGCCCCTCGGCTCTAGTGTTCCACAACTTTAGGATTGTCAGATAGGTAGTATTTCTACTCCAAGTTATTTTAATATTTTAATCTAGTTATTTTAAAACTAGATTCCCTATGATGTTGTATGTATAAAGTTATAATTTTTTTAAAAGATTTTATTTATTTGTCAGAGAAAGAGAGAAAGCACAAGCAGAGAGAACAGCAGGCAGAGGGAGAAGCAGGCTCCCCACTGAGCAAGGAGCCTGATGTGGGACTCCATCCCAGGACCCTGGGATCGTGACCTGAGCTGAAGGCAAACGCTTAACCGACTGAGCCACCCAGGCATCCCTAAATTTAGAATCTTATATAAAAATATTTAATGTGATCCCACCCCCCAAAGTTCTTTAAGTATTTTGGAGTTATTTCCTACCAGTATATATTAGTATGTATAAATTTAAAAATTTTTGAATCTCTGTCATCTCATAGGGAGATCTTAAGCAAATCACTTAACCTCTCTGTGCCTCAGTGTGGTATAAAAAATGTATTTGGTCTTTGAATGCTGTTCCAAGCACAGAGCTCCTAAGACCTCTGGAATTTCCTAATAAGTGTAATTCATAAGCCCCAGTCAACGATATTTGAATTTATGCTAACGAGGTGACTCCTGGTGAGCCTTTAAAAATTTCAGGGCTGCCCCAATCCCAGAGAGAGAAGGAGGCTGAAGATTGAGTTCAACCAGTGGCCAATGGTTTAATCAACCATGCCTAGGTAATGAAACTCCACAAAAGCCCTAAAACAATGAGGTCTAGGTACACCAAAGTGATAGGAGGGTGAAACCTAGAGGGTGTGGAAGCTCTGTACCATCCCACCCCCATCCTTCTCCTTGGTCTTTCATCATTTGGCTATTCTTTTTCTTTTTTTTTTAAGATTTTATTTGTTTATTTGACAGACAGAGATTACAAGTAGGCAGAGAGGCAGGCAGAGAAGTGGGGGAAATAAGCAGACTCCCCACTGAGCAGAGAGCTCGATACAAGGCTCGATCTCAGGACTCTGAGATCATGACCTGAGCTGAAGGCAGAGGCTTAACTCACTGAGCCACCCAGGCACTCCATCATTTGGGTATTCTTGAGTTATATTCTTTATAATAAAATTATCATAAGCAGAAGAGTTTTTTTTAAATTCTGTGAGTCATTGTAGCAAATTATGGAACCTGGAGATGGTGGGGTTAGGTGTGGGAGTGGTCACAGAACCTCTGAATTTACAGTTGGCCAGGTTGAAGTGCTTATGTCTGGGGGCCCCAGGTCTGGCTGGCATCTGAAGTGGGGACAGTCGTGAGACTGAGCTCTTAACTTATGGGTCTATGCTAACTACAGTCAGTGTCAGAACTGAATTGGTGTCAGGGAATTACTGGAAAATGAAGTGCTCAGTTTTCTTATCTGTAAAATGAAGATAATTCATAGGGTCATTATAAGGACTAGATGAGTTATTAGAGAAAAAGCATTTAGCACACTACCCAGCACTTGATAGCACTATGTAGATGGTTACAATACTTTGTTGTTTGTTTGTTATTTTTTTTTAGATTTTATTCCACTTATTTGAGAGAGAGAGAGGGAGAGGGAGAGAGAGAGAGCTGGAGCAGAGGGGAGGGATAAGGGGAGAAGGAGAAGTAGAGTCCTTGCTGAGCAGGGAAGCCAATGTGAGACCAATTCCAGGGTCCTGGGAGTATGACCTGAGCTGAAGGCAGACATTTAACTGACTGAGCCACCCAGGCGCCCAGTTATACTACTTTGAATTTTACTTACTGTGCTTACAGGTTTTTTTTGTTCTGTTTTGTTTTGTTTTAAGACTTTATTTATTTATTTGTCAGAGAGAGAGCGAGCGCACAAGCAGGCAGAGTGGCAGGCAGAGGCAGAGGGAGAAGCAGACTCCCTGCCCACCAATGAGCCCGATGTGGGACTCAATCCCAGGACCCTGGGATCATGACCTGAGCCGAAGGCAGCAGCTTAACCCACTGAGCCACCCAGGCATCCCTGTGCTTACAGTTTTAACATTGTATTATAAAGACATTTTTCTCTTATTATTATGACTATCATTTTATTTTATTTTTTTAATTTTATTTATTTATTTGAGAGAGAAAGACAGTGAGAGAGAGCATGAGAAGGGAGAAGATCAGAGGGAGAAGCAGACTCCCAGTGGAGCAGGGAGCCCAATGTGGGACTCAATCCCAGGACTCTGGGATCATGACCCGAGCCGAAGGCAGTCGCCCAACCAACTGAGCCACCCAGGCGCCCCATGACTATCATTTTAAACAGCTAATTGTACAACTGGTTTGCTTAACCAGTTCTCTATTATTGAACATTTAAGTTGTTTTTAATTTTTTGTATTATATGCATGAAGCTGTAATACACTTATAATTTTTTCATATTTAGGAACTTTCCCAAGGATAGATTCTTTTTTTTTTCAACTGAGGATAGATTCTTGCAAAGGAAATGAATGCATCAAACCTTATGAATACTTGTATGGTTCTTTGTATATGACAAGTTTTTTTCCAAAACCACTTTATCAATTTACACTGCCATCAAAGCAAATCATATTTAAATCCACTATAGCAAAGATTTCCAAATACTTCTGGGTTACAGAGACCCACCCCCCGCCAAAAAAAGGTGGAGAGTAGGAATTACATTAGGTAGTTTTGATAAGTAAAGACTTAAAAACCTTTTTAAAATACGTATTACAAAAAAGGATAGCTTAATACTCCCAAAATAAGGACACAATATTAGAATAAAAGAGTCATTAACAGTATGTGTTTTAAAGTTTTTTGATTGCAAATTAAAGAATAAATAAACTTTATATCAATGTCCCAACACACACACACACACACACACACACAAATTGGAACAAAAGTTAAACAAAATAGTATCACTATCACTATATGTGATGGAGATATTTTCTATTATTCTATTTCTTTAAAAAAAATGTTGGTATCAACTCATAGATTACCCCTACAGTTTGAAAAACACCATTTTAGGGGTGCCTGGGTGGCTCAGTGGGTTAAAGCCTCTGCCTTCAGCTCAGGTCATGATCCCGGGGTCCTGGGATGGAGACTTGCATCGTGCTCTCTGCTCAGTGGGGAGCCTGCTTCCCCACCTCTCTCTCTGCCTGTCTCTCTGCTTATTTGTGATCTCTGTCTGTCAAATAAATAAATAAAATCTTAAAAAAAAAAAAAAGATAAAAAAAAAAAGAGAAAACACCATTTTAAATTGCATGCATCCTGCAGCAGGGCCAAGAGCCAGCATACCAGTGACAAGATGTCACATGTCCCCTGCTATGATGTGACCAGAAGGATAGACACCTTTGTGGTCTTCTACCTGAAAGCCCAGAATCTCACCTTACATGAGACAGACCTTGAATGAGGCTCACTGAGAAATTCACACAGCCCACAGCAGGCTCAAAATAACTGAGGTCTGAGAAGTACGCCCAAGGGACACAACCTTACATCAGTCAAAGGACCAATTTTGCTTCCATGGTTTGGACAAAGGTACTGTGGAAACTTGAGTGACTGGCAACAGGGGAAACTGAGCAAGGGGTATAAGAGCCCTCTGTACCATTTCTGCAACGTCTTTGTAAACCTAAAATCACTCCTAAGTAAAAAGTTTAGTAAAAAAAAATTTGCATAATCCTTTATTTATTTATTAAGTAAGCCCTACACCCATCATGGAACTTGAACTAATGACCCAGAGATTAAGAGTTGCATGCTCTACCAACTGAGCCAGCTAGGCACCCCAAATTGCATACATCCTTTAAATTTATTATATTGAACTACATTTTATGAAAAACTCACTTCCATGCCCTGAATTTTCCTCATTTTGCCACAGACTAGTAAAACTTTGTCAAGGACTCTGAGAACAAATTAAACTGAGGGATCTGGCTAACAAGGCCTGAGGTGAATCATTTTGTTAAGAATCTTCATATTAAGGGGTGTTTGGGAGGCTCAGGTGGTTAAACCACCAACTCATGGTTTCGGTGCAGGTCATGATCTCAGGGTCCTGGGATCCAGTCCCATGTGGAACCCTGCGTCAGGCTCTGCACTCAGTGGGAAGTCAGCTTGTGGATTTTCTCTCTCCTTCCCCCTCTGCCCGTCTCCCTCTGCCTCTGTCACTCGTGTGTGCTCGCCCGTGTGTGCTTGTTCTCTCTCTCTCTGCGTCTCCCTCTCTCAAAAATAAATAGATACATCTTTTAAAAAAAATTCTTATTAAGCAAATAATTATTCTCTAGCTTCCTATTTTCCTAGGGATGTTCATACACTAAGCCATTTGGAGAGGGTAGGTCAGCTAGTGGCCCCTACAAACACAGTGATGGATGAGGGGGCTCTCTTGAATTGGGCTAACAGTAATTCTCTTCCAGTAATCCTTTAGAAGCACAAAAGAAGGGAGAAAAGACAAAAACAAAACCATCTCCTCTGAGGACTGTCTTCCACAGGAAAGCAAAAGGAGGGAAGGAAGGAAAGGCAGATAGTCATCTAAGTCTGGCACCTGAGTGTTGTGGTGATAGGGAATGTACTGAAGGTAAAAAGCAGCTTTCCTGCTGCAGTGGAAGGTGGAGGAAAGCTAATCTTTTCAGCCAGCCTTTTGGCAAGCAACAAGCCTAGATGGAGAGGATCACTGCAGTTGTCCATTTCCAAGCATAAAAAGTGCAGCTGCACACAAGCAGGAGGTAAAACTGTGGGGCAGGTGGAAAGCTCTGAGTCTCTGGATACTGAACTCACTGGTAAAAGGAAAGTTCTATCAGAGCCCTTTTCCTGAAAGAAGACTTGATAGGCAAGGAAAAGGCCTCCTACTTCAGTTTTGTTTTGTTTTGTTTTTTTACGATTTTATTTATTTGTTTGAGAGAGAGAGACAAAAAGAGCACAAGCAAGGGGAGAGGCTAAGGAAGAGGGAGAAGCGGGTTCCCTGCTGAGCTGGGAGACGCATGGGGCTGGATCCCAGGACCTGAGATCACACTCTGAGCGGAAGGCAGCCTCTCAATCATCTGAGCCACCCAGGCATTCCTCCTATTTAGTTTTAATTCCCCCAAAGAACATATCATTCTGAAACCAATTACTTACTTGCATATTGTCTTGTCTCTCCACCCTGACTAGAATGTTTGCTCCACAGAGCAAAGACCTTGTCTTGTTCACCACTGTATTCCTAACACCTAAACACCTAAAAGTGCTGGGCATGTAGGAAGGGCTCAGTAATTTTTTTTTTTAAAGATTTTATTTATTTATTTGACAGAGAGAAGGGGATCACAAGGAGGCAGAAAGGCAGGCAGAGAGAGAGGAGGAAGCAGGCTCCCCAGTGAGCACAGCCCTGACGCAGGGCTCAATCCCAGGACCCTGAGACCATGACCTGAGCCAAAGGCAGAGGCTTAATTAACCCACTGAGCCACCCAGGCACCCCAGTGATTTTTGAATCAATGAATGACCCACCCACTCCCCCCAAAATACATTTAATATCTCTATGGGGGAATGAGGTACAGGGTGCCTTAAAAGGCCAGATTCAGAGGTGCTCAGGTTGAGCATCCAATTCTTGGGTTCCTCTCCAGGGGTCATCTCATGTGTTATGTGATAGATCCCTGCATGGGGCTCCATGCTCAGCAGGGAGTCTGCTTGAGGATTCTCTCTCTCTGAAATAAATGAATCTTTAATAAATACATAAAATACTATTTTTAAAAAGGCCAGGTTCACAGTGATGCAGGAAGGGAGATGATGTGGATATAACTCTCATCTAGCTAGCAAGACAGTAAGGCTGAGCTCTGCCTCTGAAAGGTGGTGTGACTTAGGGTCAGTCTTTTCATCTCCTCCACTTCTCTTTTTTAGAAAATGGAATGGATTCCTACTTGACTGTATCAAAATGGAAAACATATATGAAATCCCTTTGGAAACTGTAATATACTATTCAAATGGTAAACCACTGCTGGGACAAGCAAGACCTGGCTTCTAGTGCCAGCTCTGACCCTATGAGCTACTATGTACTGACCAATTACGGGTCTTGTGCCTGAACTGAATTAAACATCTGACATTCAGTTATCTCATTTGGCTTTATCACAACCTTCTGAGGTAGATAGTATTAACCTCATTTTACAGATGAAGAAAATGGAGCTCAGAGAGGTTTGGCAATTTGCCAAAAGCCACACAGAATAAATGAGAATAAATGATAGGGCTAGGATTCAAAACTGGGTCTGATTGATCCCAAAGCCTGGTGCTCCTGGCCACTATGCCAGATATATGTTCCTGGGCGAGTTACTTTTGTCTCTTACTTCTGTAAAACAAGGGGCTAAACCAGATGATCTCTACAGATCCTTCCACATCTGACATTTTGTGGTCTATTCTGTGTGTGTGTGTGTGTGTGTGTGTGTGTGTGTGTGATCTATTCTCCTGGTCCCCACTCATATCCAAACTGGCTAGATGAAGGGGGTAGGGGACTAATAATTCACTTCTTTCATCCTCCTAGTTAGCATTTTTTTTTTTTCCAGAAGTGACCCAAACATTCATATTCCTATCTGTGGGTTTGTATCCTGGACAGTTCTATCCACTCCCTCTTGTACAGCCCCTGCCTGAATCCTGTCTCATTAACTCTTCCTTGTAGGGGTCCTGATGTCCGTGGAAGGCACTCCCTAAAGAGCCTGCCAACACTCGTGGGACCGCAAAGCGCAGAAGTCACTGGGCACATCTGGATCGGCTCGCTAGCCCCGGGCTGGAGGGGTGTGTGAAGCGACTCTCCCACACGCCCGCCCTCTCCTCTGCGGCGCAGCTCTGCCCCCCCATCCCTCGGGGCCCCCATCTCTCCGCTCCCGTTTCCTCTGTAAATCTAAAACACGAATCCCCACTTCAAGGGGCTGCAGAGATGAAGTGAGATACGTATTTGAGAAGTATTAGTATGCTCGCTATCGCGCTCCATCTTCGCGCCTCCAGAGGAGAGTCCAGAGGGGCTAAGAAGCCCCCGACCGGGTAGGAGACGGGCAGAGAGAGATCAGGGGCTGCAGAGCCCAGAGTCCAGGCTGCGGAGGACCCCGAGGGTCCCGCCCCGAGGGACCGCCCCTAGAGCACCGGGGGCTCCGGAATGGTAGGGGGACCTGGCCGAATCACCTCAGCCACCGCTTCCCGCCCGCGGGCGTCTCCCGGCCCCAACTGAAGCTCTACGGGTTCCTCACCTCCGACTCCCGCCGCTGGCTTCTGAACGCTTCCCGGCCCTTGGGTGCTGCCTGCTTCCCTTTGCCGCCGCCGTTGCCGTTGCTATTGGCAGACGAGCTCCCGACCCCGGGCGCCACGGGGTCCTCCATGCGGCCCTTGTCAGCGTCTCCCCTCAGCTTCTCCGCGCTCTCTGCCCGGGGCGACCCCGCCGCCGCGCGCCGGGAGCCATGCCCCGCCCCCTCCACAGCTATTGGCCGCGGTCGCGCCCCGCAGCCCCGCCCCGCAGCGCAATTGGTTGTTCGACGGCTCCAAGCGGGACTTGGAAGGGGGGGGGCTCATTCACTGGATTTCGCCCCCCTCCTTTTTTTTTTTTTTTTTTTTTTTTTTTTAAGTCCTGCGTAGTTGCTGGTAGCCTTAGGCTCCGGGGTAGGCTCCCCGCTTCACCTCCCGAATTCTGGGCCTTGAGTTCTGGGCAGGTTATCTTTTTGCTTCTCACTCAGCACTCACCGCCTCCCAAATAGCGACCTTTTTGGGGAGATCTAGTCTCCGCCTCCTGCTCCACTGCAGTCTCCCTTTCCCTATTATCACGGACCTCTCTCCCGGCTCCCGCATTACGCCCCAAGTCCGGTGTCAGCTGCAGGGGAGGCATAGCACTGCTCGGTGGCCAGGGACACCGCAGGAAACCAGGGACCCACTCTCTCAGATTTCTCGAGAATTCATCCCGCCCGGAGCGAGGGCTTGGCTGGGAGATGGTGGGTTGAAGGGTGGGGTGAGGCTTCACTGAAATTGCTGGAGCCCTTCAGAGCTACTCCTGGTCATCTGTCTTTCTCTTCTGAAGTGGAGCACCTTCCTCAGGTGTTAGCTGGGGAGAAATGTTGAATGGAAAGCAAACTCCCACCTGCTCCCCAGTCCTTTCCTTCGTTTCTCTAAGATCCTTCCTAAGGGCTCCATACAAAGGAGGCTGTGTCGTCTGCCGCTCTGAATTTATATAAAAAACGGTTTATTGTAAATATTTAGGCTGTCTGTGTTGGTAATTAGAAGTCCCAAACAAGCAGCCTGAGGGGAATGGGTGAAACAATATGGGTGGGATTGGGGGAATTGTTGAGCTGTCACTTTGTTCCAGGCATGGCACTAGACACTTAACAGATATCATATGGTACTTCATTCTGACAGGCTGTTTTCACTAATCCTGTATTACTGTTGAGAAAACCAGGACTCAGAGATTACTCCTTGCAGTTCCCAAGGTATCATATTCTATCTTGTCTCAGTGTCTTTGCAGTTCTTTCTCTCTGGAAAAAACTTTCTGCTCTTGGCTAACCTCTATTGTTCCATGAGGATTCTATTTTGTTATTACCTCTGCTTCCAGAAAGCCTTCCTTTGACCCTTTCAACCCACTCAGGTTGTATTGTGTCACATTAAGTCTGCTTGGATTCAAAATTCTTATATTTTCTACTATATCCTCAAAGTAAGAGGCTCAAAGGAATTTCCGCCTTCCTATATCTTAGGGGCAACTCTCTTTTCTTAATAATTCTTTTTTTTTAAATTTTATTTTTAAGTAATCTCTACACCTAACGTGGAGCTCAAAGTTACAATCCTGAGACCAAGAGTTGCATGCACCACCAACTGAGCCAGCCAGGCACCCCAACTCTTTTTCTTTCTTAACCATATCTCCCCCTCGTACTTTCTTCTGCTAGTTGGTAGGTGACAGATCATGGCAGAGTTAAAAGAGAGAACTCCTTGGAGCTTTCTCAGTTCCTTTCTTTCCTATCCCCAATATTTCCTTACTGTGTCTACCCAATCACCTTCCCTTTCCTCTCCCATTCCCCCCCAACCTGAATATAAGTTCCTTCAAAGTAAGGCCAAGTTCTGTTCATTTTGTATATCTCATATAGGTATGTTTAACACAGGGTTTCTGTAATACTGACTGAAAAATTGTTTGTTGTAGGGAGCTGTCCTATGCATTGTAGGATGTTTAGCAGAATCCCTGGCCTCTCCATACTAGTTGTCAGTATTAGTACCCTCCCCCAAGTTGTGACAACCAAAAGTGTCTCCAGAGACTGCAAATGTTCTCTGAGGAACAAAATCTTCTGCAGTTGAGATCTACAGGTTTAACATAATTGAACTGATATGAATTTCCAAGGAATTCCATGGCTCAACACCTAAACTATTTGATTTTGGAATTTTTTTCAGGGTATAATTTGTTAAACTCTAAGATTCACACTCTGCTTTAAAATTCACAACCCACGCCTAGCTCATCACTGCTGCAATGTGGTAAAACTGCCACAGCACAGCCCATTGGCGTTTCTTAATAAAAGGATTAATTATTCTGTCTTCCTCTTCCCAATTCCTGTTCTCCTAAGCAGTTAGAGTTCTAGGATTGACAGGCCCAGAACTTCATAGTTCTTTTGTAGGCCCAGTCAATCAGCAGGATTCTCAAACAGGGGTGGCAGATAGGAGTGGCCAGTTTTGAGGCTTTGTTCCTTTTCCAGTCTAACCCTTGGGCAAAGGAGCAAAGCCTCAAACTGGCTTCAATAAGGAGTAGGACTGAGGACAGCTTTCAAGTCCCCTCTGGCCTCGATGCAAAGCCAATTGCTGAGCCTGGAGCTCCATCTGGCTTCATTTTCAGAGTAGGGGTTTGAAAAACTGGTGTTAGAGAGATTGCAGAGAATCAACACAAGAGACCTGGGTCTGTTATCTTTCCCACACCTCAGTGGAATGGGAAACAGTAGAGATCAGACATTTGTCTGTTCCTTATAGGCCCAGACTTTCAGAGGTTGTCATAAGGACTACGAGATCTGGAAAACAATTCCTGGAAGAAGTAACAAGAAACCACGGATTAACTGAGAACTTTGAAACTATAGGCCATGGACTTAGCACACACTGAACTTCTTTAAGCTTATTTGTCAACAAAGATGTGGTAGTCATCAGTAACCAATGACCACAGAGGCATCCACATATATAGCTGGAAGCTAATGAGGGACTAGTCTACAAGTTTTTCCACGTTGCAGAGATGGTTCCAACGCTGTTATTTTTTTTAAGTCAACTCTACCACTTTTCCTTGTCCCAAAACTCAGGCATTTGGGGGCTGCTGGCAAAGGGTTGGAGGTATAAATAGGTATAGTTACAAGGACTGAACATATCCTCTTCCCCATATAAGTGCTTGACTTTAATCCATGGAGGTCAGATACTAGATTAAATAGATAGCACCTGTTACAGAGGGAGCTTAAAAATAAGATGCAGAAAGTCTTACAATACTCAATTTTGGATGACATTGGGCAGCCAGGATGATGTAGTAGAAAAAGGACAGAGTATCTTCCTCTCCTATCAATGGCACAGGCAACAGAGGCTGTGGGACCCTAGACTGAGATGAGGAATTGATGTTTATGTAGCACATGGTCTGTGCCAGGTTTTTAAGCAGCATTTAAAAAATTAAATCAGGTGTTTAAATCCTTGCCCTAGGAGACAAGGATTAACCATTTCATAGGCAGGAAAACTAAGGCACCGAGTGGTTCTATTATATACATAAATTATACAACTTATAAATGGAAATGCTAGTCAAGTGAGCCTGACTCAAAGTCTAATCTCTTTCCATACAGACCACAAGCTATAGAAATTTCACAGCAGTGGGTAGTCAGGGCTTACCCTGAGTTTGAAACTAAGACCCAGGCACCCAAGTCCCATCTTTTACAGAGGAGGACTCAAGCCCTGCTCTAAGGGGGTGAACCTGCCAGCTGGCTCACAGGCTTCATTGCTAGCTGCTGCTTTCTCTTTCTCCTCAACTGGCATGGCACCAGCTTTGAGCCATTACCAACTGCCCAGACTATTTTAGCTCTTAGTTTAGATAAACACAAGTCAAAAGTAGCAGAAGATTCTGAGAGGGAAGAAAACATCTTGCCTACAGGAAGAACTAGGTTAGGTTGTCAACTAAGAAAGGTGGCTATCAGAAAGCTACTCAAAAATGGCCACTCTACTGGCAGTTTAGAAGGAAGAGACAGTTGGATTTAATTTTCTAGTTACTGATTTAGTCAGGCAAAAGCTGACTTGGAGACAAATTTCTGCCAGATTATTTCTTCCCTTCGGTTGGATGTAGTCAGGTTCTGGGTGTCAGGGCCTTTTAATCCCAAACCATGGATGCTGGCTGGCTTCCTGTGCTCTCCAGTTAAGGGCAGCACACAGAGGATTTGGGGGAACATAGAACCAGATATTTCTCTGTCTTAGGCCTACATTTCTCAACTCCCCAGGGTGATGGTTCTTTTCTTTTTTTAAAGATTTTATTTATTTATTTGAGAGAGTGTGTGTGCATGTGGTGGGGTGTGGACAGAGAGAGAGAAAGAGAGCATGAACAGGGGGTCAGAGAGGGGCAGAGGTAGAGAGAGAAGCAGGCTTCCGCTGAGCAGGGAGCCCCATCTAAGGCTAGATCCCAGGACCCTGGGATCATGACCTAAGCCAAAGGCAGAAGCTTAACGACTGAGCCACCTAGGTGCCCCAGAAAGCAGGTTCTTTACATACATAACCAGGGGGAAGGTTGGGGGGTAGATATTAGTGGAAAGGCCCGCCATGGAATAAGGGACCCAAGGCTAAGGCCATTTAAACATTTAAATGTTTAAACATTTAAACTTTTTTGGTAGCCTATTGGTAAGATGCTTTTTTACATCCTTGTCCTGTGGCAGGCTCTCCAGCCCATTGCCTAGAAACATCTCTCACTCTGAATTCATAGTTCACAGAAGCAAAGAATACTCTCAAGACAAGAATCCATTTTAAGAATATTTTATTTATCTTTTGAGATTACATAGTCATTATTGCTGATCTAATACAATCACTTAGACATAAAGATTTCCAAGAGCCTCTCAGAAATGGCGATTCTTAGAGGTTTTATTTCCTTTCAGTAAGATGACAATGAGAACTAGATGATTATATATATAATATATATATATTATATATATAGTTTAGTTTATCGTCTACGTATAATTTGCTGGTGTTGCCTATTTTCTTTCCATAATCTTCCTTTATTAAAAAAGCGTAATGCAACAATGCATTTTGATTTCTTTTTTTTAAAACCATGACAAAGTTAATTTTGAGAAAACCACAGGAGCAGCAGTTTCAGATCTGTTCAGAGAAAAGCCAAGCAGCAAAAAAGCTCTGCAGGAGT